AGGCCACCAGCAGCGGAGCACGCGCACTCAACCGCCAAGCCACGGGGCCGGCCCTGATTATGTTCTAAACGTCACTAAACTTGGATTAATCTTCACGGTTTTGGATATCTCAACATAATATACTGCTATGGATTTTATAAAAAACACTTGTACTTAACTATATTTCATAAAAGATCTTTTTATTGTTGCTGTTACTACAAACCCTTAAAGAATCAACTTTAAGAATGATCATGGCCCAGTATAACTTTTACCTTTCTGAACTCTCTCCTTCAAATACCTCTGGGACCATCCACAGTGACCCCCTGGCCCTGAGAGATCAAGTTGGTTAACGTCAAAGCAGAGAAATAGAAAAGGTGTTTTTATGCTCAGCTTAGAGCTCCTGCAATTACAACAGGCTAATACTAGTTAAGTTTCTGGAAATTGAATATAAATTATTAAATTACCAGGCATTAGTCCTATTTCAGTAAACTACTAGATCCTTTTATAAAACATGCGATTTCTTAAAGATATGAATAGAAACCCTCTAACTTTCTAATTTGTAGGTAAGGATTGCCCTATATGCAGTTTTTCACAGTAATGCACAATTGGGTGGTTTCAGAATTTCATCAAGAACTCTAATTTCCTTTATTTGAAAAAACTTCTGCAATTCTGGAAACTAAAAATAACAGCTTTTAACCCAAGCTCAAAGAGAAACTACCTAAGAATACTAAACCTAAACCATTAGGTGATACAGTTGAATGAAGTTAAAAAGTAAACAAACAATATTAACTGAAGGTATGTGACTGGTTTTGAGTAGATACAAAATGTAGTTCTAAGGGAAAAAAATCATTGTCATAAAAGAAACAAATGTTATAAACAATTTTTATCAGTGTTCTATAGAAACCATTTTCCTTTTCCACATTTCCTTTCCAAAAATGGCTAAAAATAACAGTATTTGTAAAATGATACATTCTCCTGCATAATTAATCTCTTTCTGATGCTCCACGCTCTCTGATGACTTCTAAGTCAGGATGTTTCATACCATATGCTTGTGGAAGAATTCGGAAGGCCACAATGACTGGCTTGTGAAATGACAAGAAATATTGACAAAAACAGGGCACATTAAAAACAACAGTTTCCTGGGGCCGGCCCCGTGGCTTAGTGGTTAAGTGCGAGCGCTCCGCTGCTGGCGGCCGGGGTTTGCATCCCGGGCGCGCAGTGACGCACGGCTTCTCTGGCCATGCTGAGGCCACGTCCTACATACACCAACTAGAAGGATGTGCAGTTATGACATACAACTATCTACTGGGGCTTTGGGGGGGGAAAAAACAAATAAATAAAATTTATTAAAAAAAAAAACAAAAAAACAACAGTTTCCTAACTCAAAATGCGTGGTTGGCTTAACCATTTGCTTTGAAATGGGGAAGCCCGTAGCAGACTAGTGCAACTTGGTTGACAGCACCTGAGGTCTGTGTTAGCCTCCATTCAGACATCTTTTGCTCACCACTCAATATCGCCCCTATCCTTCAGCGCCTTGGCCAACACTTAAACTTTCAAAGACTATGCCTGCACTACAACTGTATCAGAAGGTGCATAACTTTGTTCTGCAAGGAGTGCATTTTTCTTACTCTATTTGGAAAGCCTAAGGTGCTACATTCATTACCTTTTAGAGACACTCTTAAAATCTAATGGGGAGGAATGAAGAGGAGAATTACAGGTTTGGAGCGTTGCATTCTGTGGAGAGCTGTAAAACAAGGAGAATTGGAAGAAATGGATAGCTGACCTCTTTGAGAAAAGAAGATGCTGGAGTTCACAGAAAGATTCTGTGGGATACCCCAGGAATTAGGCACTTCGTGGCTGGGCCCTTTTGGAAAAAACTGCATCCTCACTTTAAACTGACAGCGTCAAAATGGGGAAAGGGATACAATATGAAAACTATCCATGAGAAACCCAAAAGGCAGTCTGAAAGTTATAAATGGGGCAAATCAAGAAAGAGATAGAAAAATGTGTCAAAGCAAAGATGGTCCTAGAAAACCCAACCTTCTTCTCCCACGAATTATCAATTTCATTTTTCATTTGCCTCATCACATATGCCCTGTGAATACAACCATCATTACAACGCCTGCTTTCATATGTAAATACCTGAGTGCAGAATGCCAATACACCTCCCCTTTAACTAAACCAATATATAGAAATCTGTTAACAAATAAAGATTATTTACATGAGAAATTCTTCACTTTGCAAAAATTCTTCTTTATGTATAAAAGTATAAAGGTCTTTTAGGAAAAATTGTTTTCATACCCTTTAAGGAATGTACCTACTGTATAAAATGGCCCTGAGAGATTATCAAGTAGAAGTCCCTTTTATCTCATTCTTTCTAGGACCCATATCTCAATATTAAGTCCCCAAAATGTATCAGAGCTTGGTCTTCATAGACTAGCAGAGCAGATTAGATCAACTATAGGGCTACAGAAAGTATCTTTAAAGGACCAGGGGGCCGGCCCCGTGGCTTAGCGGTTAAGTGCGCGCGCTCTGCTGCTGGCGGCCTGGGTTCGGATCCGGGAGCACACTGACGCACCACTTCTCCGGCCATGCTGAGGCCGTGTCCCACATACAGCAACTAGAAGGATGTGCAGCTATGACATACAACTATCTACTGGGGCTTTGGGGGAAAAAATAAATAAATAAATAAAATTATAAAGGACCAGGAATATTACAGACAAAGAAAATTCACAAACTTATTTTAGTGAGTAAATTATTATAGTCTATGATATTTTGGGTTTTAAAAAGTCCTGAGAGCTGAGACCTTATCTTCAATTTGTCTTCCAAATTTCCAACTTCTAGCACAGTCCCTGGCACATAGTAAGAGCTGTGTGTGTGTGAAACTGATGAGTCAAGTTGCACTCTCTCTCTGAACCCTGCCAGGATGTGTGCTCATTAGGATACTTTGGGCAATGGATGACAATTGACTATAACTGAAACAGGCAGCAGGAGAGGAGAAGGAGGCATAAAGAGAAGCAAAAACCTCCATGGTTGGGGTGGGGGGAGAGGTGGAGATAATGATTTACAGAGAAAATAATAATACACCTTACACTTGTATTTTTATGATCTTCAAAATACTTTTACAAGATTCTTTTTCATTTGCTCCTCACTATTCCGCTGTGAAGCATGGGATTATTTAATACATAAACCCCATAACTCAGAGAGGAAAGAAGGAAATACAACACGGTTACTGTAAAATGTTAGGTGCTGCCTCAAGAGAAAAATCATGAGTTTAACTTTTTCCACAAGCAGAGGGAAGGGTTATACTTATTATACAATCAGATAAACCTCTAAGGTGAATATTCACAAACTGATTATTTTCTACGAAAAATGTATGATTCATGAAATAAAATAAGCAATTAACTGCCAGGTAATTTTAGATCTGATGAATCGACTACTGCTCTCCAAATGATGTTTGCCCCTAAGAGTAGAATTTAAAATGCACGGCAGCATATCTATCTACACTACTGTATAACCCAGACAGTGAGAATTGCCCGAAATCTCAACAAGAAATGGATTTATTCGGTCGAATTGTTGTTTCATTTAACCTCTGGCAAATAAATAACTTACCTTAAAAGTCCCCACCACCTCTCTTGATCCTGCTTGTCCGGCACATGCCGCGGAGCATCCATTATCGCAGTCCTTAAAGGAGAATTAAATCAATTCAGTAAAACCAGGTGGGTACCTGGGGCCTGGGGTAATCAATCTCACTCACCATTACACCCTGTGCTCCGCTCCGACACTCAAGCGAGCAGGAAAAGGAGGATCAAACCCCCGGGAGCGAACCCCAAACCCGAGCGCCCGTGGAGTGCTGCCCTTCGCTTTCTACCCCGCCTGAGGTCGCGGCTGTTTTTGTCCTCCACCGCCGGCTCAGGGCAGACTGGTTACATTCTTGGTTCGCCCTACAGAGCCAGGGTTCACCAGCAAAGAACAAGAAGGTAATTGTCTCCCTTATGTCCCGAGTAAATAGTCTCGACTAGGGTTTTAAACCGTTTATAGAAAAACCTCCGGGGCGCGCTCAGCCGCGTGGTCCTTCCTGTCAATCACTGGCGCACAATAGCAAGCCTGGAAAAGGGATGGGGACGAGAGTGAACCATTTTCTCCACGGGCAGGGTCTTCCGACGCAGGCGCGAGGACACCAAACCCCGCACATTAAGGACAAAACCTCAGGGAATTAGGGGGTAATTTAAGAGAATGGAAGCGGGACAAATTGGAAAAAGGTGCCGACATTAAAAAAAAAAAACAAAAACAAACCACGAGCCTAATCCGCTAAATAACTAGGAAAGAGAGCGGGAAAAAAGGGATCCAAGGAGGCAGAAGGCTGCGGTCAAAATATTTTGGGGTGGGGAAGGCAGGCGGGATGTGGCTGTCGGTTCTGGCAGCCCTGAAACTCCGCTCCTGCTCCTGCTCCTGCCCCAAAGCGGCTGCCATGGCGACCCTCACTGCCCGGGTCGCGGTCCGCGCCGCGCTCTGAAGCGGGTCACCCGCGGGGCGGTAGACCCGGCCGGCGGGGGCCTCTCCGAGGCGAGTTCGCAGGCTGGGACTCTAGATTTCGGGCCGGGCTGCGGAAAGAGGAGATGCCTCGTGGAGGCGGAAAGGCGGTGCAAGGCGAAGCACGATGGTGCAGGAAACCGCAGCAACGCGCCCGGCCGGGCCCGCCGGCTTCCGAGACCCGAGGTCCAATCCGCCCCCCTTCCGCAAACACCCGCGGGCGGGGTACCTGGTGGGCGAGGGCCGCGGCGGCGCGGAGCGGGCGGGCCATGGGGAGGCTCCC